AAAGACCCTTGTGCCCYTGCTATAAGTGAGTACAATAACAGACATAACAGAAGTAAAAAAATAGAAATAAAAAACGCTTTAACTAGCCAAACAGACCCTAACACCAACAACTAAATTATTTCAACAGAAATCAAAAGGTGAGTCTCTTATTTTGATTTCTAAAACCTAAATTTTAGAATTTTAAAACATTCTAATTTTTATTTTCTTATTTACATATTTAGGCAAAGATAAGAAGCCAATGGAATTAATAAATGAGGAAGATGAAGAGTTATTGGTAAATGAGGAATTATCAATGGAGATGAAGATGATGATGAGACGATCAATTTCATGGTTGAATCTTCAGATGATGTTGATGAAGAGGCTTTTAAGGACTAGATGGCTTTTTGGGCTTGAAATTTTATTAGCATGAAAACATTTGAATGGTTCTTTACCTTAAAGTGTGACTCTTAAAGTGTGTTATTTGGATTTTGGAACTATATTTTGTGGTTTGGATTTAAAATTTTATTAGAATTATGTTTTGTTATTTGGATTTTGAAATTTGAAATGACCTCTTAAAGTGTAAAATGTGGAATGTAGAATGATTTTTTTTAACTTGGATAGGAATTATGTTTTCTTAGTTTCTTTCCTTTTAGAATGATTGAAAGTTCTTATCAGTTTCATCTTTTAAGTTGAATAGAAATTATGAAATAAAGAATAATTCTAAATCTCAATGTGTTCTTCTTTATAGGAATTTACAATTTTGAACTTCAAGGATTCATATTTTGTAATTTCATTATGGGATTGCATCACACGTGTTCCCTAAGAGCTAAGGTACATTCATTTGATCCCATCTTCTTTTTTATTCAACTTTTCTTCTATAGTTTAAACTTTAAAGATTGTATTGTAAAAACAAATTTTTATATAATAGTTACTAGTTAGTAGTTAGTTACTACTTACTAGTTAGCTTAGACTTCATACAAGTAATCTTGAAAAAGATTTGCACAATCAGCAATTGTTGAACCATACATTTTTTTTGATAAATGAGAGTAATTTTATTGAAAAAATATCAGAAATACATGCAGCCTAGGAAGAGGCACGAGATGTTACCTCCCCTGAGGACTGAATCATAAACACTAAAACATGCCCAAACCTGAGATACAAATTACAAATTAGCCCAAAACAGATCACCCCTTGCTAGGCCAGAGAATCAGCCATTACATTTGCTGATCTGCTAACCCACTGGAACCTAACAGTCATATTTCTTGTCATCCATTTGACTTTCTTTAACAGATCCCTGTAGCCCCAACAAACTGTGTCTGGGCTATTCAGCCAGCCCACTACTACCTTGGAGTCTCCTACTAACAAATTGTTCACTCCTAATTGACTAGCCATCTGTAATGGCTGATTCACTCCTAATTGTTGGACCATACATTAAGTCACAAATAATTATATAAAATTTCAATTATTTATTTTTCATAATTTTTATGTTTTTAATTTGAGGCTTACGCCTCAAGGCTTATGCTTTGCCTCTTTAGCACCCAACTGCCTCACCTCCGCCTTTAGCCTTTTAAAACCTTGGTTTTAAGGTAGTAAGTCTAATTTTGCATTATGATACCTGGATGCCTGTACAAAGGTACCAACATCATGTTGGACACTTTGGCATTTAGTGCAAATATTGTATCCAGTATTGTTGCCAGCCATGTCCTTACCATAAATGCATTTAATACTTCTCTAGCTTCATAAAAATTAATACTATGTCATCGGCAAACAACAAGCACCAAGGAACCTCCTCCAAAAACTACCATCTCCAAATCAGATTACTGTTAGCATGTTATACATGATACCATGTTATGAGAATGAACATAAACTATCTTCAGTTTTCCTTGATGTGATTCTTGAGGCTGGCTTCATCTTTCTTTAGTTTTCAAATATACTTTCTATGTAAAAGTAAATAATTAATTTGACAACTACAAATTGTTGCCAAACTGGTTGGTTGCAAATAGAAGATGAAGATCCCCAAGTTTATCATCATGCAGACGCTTAGCACATACATCACCTTGTTACCTTACAACACATCCAATTCAACAAAAACTCAACAGTATCAACAAAGTTGTGTAGAATGATAAAAAAAAAAAGTATACCACTCATTTATTTGATACCAAGCTTCAAACCTAGCATTTCTATTGAATCCAGCTGAGTGTTGCTCCCAGTTCTCTAACAAGATGCTTGGTTTCTCTCATTATGTACYTATACTTCCAAGGTCCCTCACTCCTATTCTTGAGCCAACCAACAGCAATCCTTGAACCCCCACCCCCATACTACCATCAGGTTAAAATGTTGGTCTCTTCCTATACTTAATCCTTGAAGGACCACCAATTATTCTGCTCTTACCAAGTCACCAACCCAATAAGTCCTGAGAATAAGGCTGCTATTTTATGAGTTATTATATCCATCAAAAATCAAAGCAAGAGCATCATGCCTAGGTCATTTGGAACCTTACAGTTTATAACCCTTTATAACAAGGATCTTTTGTGACACGTGCAACTAAACCCCTTTTGCCTAAACCTTTTGACCACCATCAAACAGTGATTTCTCAGACACCAACACCAAATAAGATTAAGTTGCTATTTCAGTAAAGGCTAGATCCTGATACAAACCATTGATGATGGAAAATATGTTGATAATATGTTCAAAAAGATTGATCAGATCAGAAATGGTTACATAAATTTGCATACTTCAGTTACAGTATGTCAGTAATCCTGGTAAGTGCAAAACGTAACTGATTATATTATAAAAATGTTTCCATCTTTTCTCCACCAAGGCTTGTAAGATTCAACCAGGACAACAAATTATTCAAGTTAGAAAAGATCTTACAACAATAAACAGATCCCATGTGAGTTTCAAAAAATGAGAAATGACCTCATGGATTCTTTGAGCCTCCTCAACTAAGCATGGATGTCAAATATCTATTGGTAAACATAATTAAGCTCCATTAAGAAGGGAAAATAGTGGACAAATAGAATTTTCCCATAAAACAAAGAGGCCAATGCAGGTAAGGATATGGAACAAGGAAGCACTTTAAGAAAAAGGTCACATTAAACAAAAGGTTTGGAAAAAACAAGTTCATAAAATAAGCATATATGTGAATGTCAAGAAGGATGAGTGCCAAGACTAGGACAATTTTATTATTAATACATTCATGGAAACCTAGGTGTAGCCCAAGAGTGGAAAAAAATGACAGCAATTCAATTGACATGATATGCTCATATGCTACACCAGCAAAAAAGAGAAGAGTGATCTGGGTCCTGGAGCAAACCACTGCTCTAAATGACAAGATTAAGTGAAAAAGATAGTGGGTTGAAGTTATGAAAGATACTAAATGACCTGATCTAAGAAAGAAATAGATCTGCACTTAGTTGTAATGTTAAATTGACCTCAGAACTAAAAGAAGTAGTTGTAATGTTAAATTGACCTCGGAACTAAAAGAAGCACAACAATAAAAGGATAAGATGCATGTCTGTGCCTTCATACCACTGCAACAATGTGGAAAACCACGAGAAGAACCAAAGGAAAGCATATAAGAGAAACAAATGAACATTACATGTATAAACCCAAAGTAACGTTTATCATGCTAAACTATTCCCATCAGAAAATCAATCTCTCAAACAACCAAGCATCAAATCAAATGAGGAAGACCTAACAAAGGCTACAACTTTAACTGTTGAGCAAACTAAGCTAACCTTGTTGTATTTACAACAACGCATAAATAGTGAAAGACTATATCACATTAACAAGAAGTTAAGATAGGAAATTGAACAATAAATAAGAAAAACAAATATCCAAACCATATTATCATGTTGAATTGGAAATTTCAAAAATAATCTAATCCACGCATGCAAGAGGAAAGACACAGAGAAAAAAAATGCAAAGGAAATCCATAAATAAAAATCATCACATGGGTCTTCAATGAACCAGAATGTCCAAGGAGGGATTGGAAATAATGTGGACAAACTAGAGATTTATATTTAAACTGGATAGCTTTCTATAGTCAAAATAATAAATGATCCAGTAAATTTGCTGACCTATCAGCAATGCTTTAGCATCAAAGGTTATCTTTATCTTCAATATTTCTGGCTCTTTTTTTTTTTTGAGAGTTTTGGGAATAGAGAAGCATGAATTCCAGGGACAAATCATTGTTCATTACAAATAATTGATGTCCAAACAAAAATACATCATTTGATTATGGGAATACTTCCACCAAAATGAAAAGCAAAAATCATGGCATCATCATCGTCATCCCAACTATATGGAGTCAGCAACATGAATCCCGTTTCGCAAGTCGGTTCTATTTAATACCATATCCATTATTCCGTTGTTAAAATTATGGCACTTAAATCACTTCTTACTACTAGCCATGTCCTTTTTTGTCTACCCCTTGCCATTCTAGCCCCTTCAACTTGAAACAAATCACTTATTCTCACAGATGGTGTTAATGGTCTTCTTTAAACAAGACCAAACCATCTTAGTCTAATTTCTCCCATTTTATCACCTATTGGAGCCATAACTAAAATCTGAAAAGATCCAACCCCATAACGAAATTTCTTGCAACATGAATATACCCAACTTTGGTCTTTGGCAACCAAATCCTGTTACCAAATAAACAAAACCGCAGATAACCAACCAAAAGTTCCAACACCAGAATAAAAATAGGAGTAATGTCAGAGTCATTCACAATCCATATCGTATTTCCCCTTGATACGACCCGATATGCATCAAATTCAACAACCCAATCGCAACATCCAAATCTGAATCAGACCAAGCAAGTAGAAGTACATATTATTGTAACGAAAATCAAGCAAGAAAAAGTTGGATGAAGGAATCCATTTAAGCCCACACTAGCATTTCCCTTGCGTTCGTCCCAAGGCGCCCCGTCAAATTATAGCAACCCAGTCCTATGCATATTCTAAGTAAACAAAAACAAGAAAATATAATAATAATAATAATTGGAGAAGAGAACAGACCTGGTGGATAGGTGGGTACATTGAATTGGTACAGACAGGGCATTCCAGAAGTTCGTGGACGCTGGTGGCAGGAGAAATCGCTGGGGAAACTACATTGTTGTGGGGCTTCGAGGTGAACTGATGGTTATGGATCTCTTCCTCGTCGATCCCATCCGAGGATGAGACGCATTCAATGCTATCCAATTCCATTCACAGCAGCAATGCTACCCAGAAATCAAATAGAAAAAGAACAGGATCGATTATAGTTCTTGTTTGGGTTTTCTTCTTTTCTTTCGATTCTCCCCCCCCCCCCTATCTCACGTCGTCTTCGATCACCGAAGACGAACAGTGGAAGAAAAAAAAAAAGGAAGAACAAAAGAAGAGAAAGAAAACCAGACACGGAGACACCAAGAGAAAGGAAGAAGAAACAGAAGAAAATAAATAAAGAAAGAAATAGATGGGGTTGGATGATGGCTCGATCGGAACGGAATAACAAACTACCTCTCAAAAGAGGTATTTTCCTTCGCTGGCTTTTTGCCGGGTTTTGAGAGAGGGAAAAAGAGATGAAAGGACGACCATCAAAATAACCATGTTGATCGAAATCAAACGGGTTTCTTCGGATATTGCCTAAAAACTGATTTCAGTGTGCAAAAAGAGATAATAAAAAAAAAGGTCTAATAATGTAGGTTGCACTGTGACAGTGTTGATTATTTATCAAAAAAAAAATTCCTAAATATAAACACTGCAAAAAAAAACTTCGAAATTAGAAAGTTAGAATTTTTCAATTTATTTCCGCCTAGTCCCGTCCCGAGGACAAACAGTTTATTTAAATTAAACCCGGGAAAATTAACGGATATGTCGTAAAAGATTTTTTTTTTTCTGTGTATTGGTGAGATGGGGGGGTTGGATACTAAGGTGGGGCGTCGCGTGGAAGCCTAGAAGTAGAACTGTAGAAGACATATGAACATATATCTGCTGATCACAAAACGCTGGTTATATCCGTGTGCACATTAGTGTGATGTACGGGATTTTTTTACCGAATTGTAAATTAGAGTTAATTAACTTTTAAAGAGCCATAGATACTAAGATTTTAATTATAAATTAGAGTTAATTAACTTTAGCACAAAATTTCATTATAAATATCCCCCATTTAACCCTTTATCATGCTAAGATTTTAATTCGGGCTATCTCATTAGYCAATATATTCATTTCTTAAGGGAAAATCCCATATTAGTACCCTATACTTGGGCCTAGTGCCACTTTGGTCCCCAAACTTTAAAATGTGACAATTAAGTACCAAAACTTTTAAAACGTGACAATCTAGTAACTGTCATTAACTAGTTGTTAACCAGCCGTTAAGTGGCATTTGAAAAGACACAGATGCACTTCAAGTGTTATTTAATTTTCTTTATCACCATCTAAACGTTGACAAAAAAAAAAACAATAATCCCAAATCCTTGCCTTTTTCCATTCAAGAAAGTTGGGGTCATGTTTGAATAGCCATTCTGGTGACCCCAACTTTCTTGAATAAAAGAGGCAATGATTTGAGACTGTTAATTTTTTTGTCAATGTTTAGATGGTTGATAAAAAAATTAGATGACACTCGAAGGGCAATTGTTCATTTTTCAAATGCCACTTAACAGATGGTTAACAGCTAGTTAACAGTAGGTATTGGATTGTCATGTTTTGAAAGTTAGGGTACTGAATTGTCGCATTTTAAAGTTCGGGGGCCAAAGTGGCATTAGGCCCAAAGTACATGGTACTAATCAGGAATTTTCCCTTTCTTAAATGCCCTTGATAATACCATTTATGGACCCATTAAACCACACCAAATGATCCAAGAGACCAACACTGATTTTTGCTTAATTCACCGTYGAAACCCCATTTTACCTCAAACACCCGATTTGACCATTATAATCCTTCCAAAGTACCTAAAAATCCCCGAACACCATCATCAAACCTAGGACCTCCTAAAATATCTACCCCTGAAATTTCAACCCAAGATCGCTTCCACTTATTCTTTTTATCAAACCAAAATTCCCTTTCGAACCCTCTCATTAGCCTGAAGCACCCACAACCCAAATATCCTTGATCCTAACACTTTTGAATCAATTAGACCATACAATTGAATCATAGACACACCAAAAACATCTACTCATAAATCTTAAACCTATAATTCCCCCATTTACCCCATCATCAAATAAATAATCCATTTGGATGCTGTCGTTGACCTAAATTTCAGTGTTTTTGGCCCTCCAAAATCAATTAGATGTTTTCATAAAATCATAAATACTCTAAAAACCCTACCCACAAAAGTTCAGCCCAAAATACCTTTGTTCGCCCCTCAATTGGGCCAATCTGACCATACTAATCAAACCATAATGCTCAAAAACACCACCCTGCCAAATTTCAACAAAAATTCCCTCATTTTCCCCCATCACACCAAGATTTTGTTTCAAAGTAAATAAATTAACCAAATTACTATGCCTCTAGATTTGTCTGATCCGAGCCTATTTAGGCCAATCTAACCCCACCAATCAATTCAAAATGCCTAAAAACCCCACCTTGTAAAATTTTGCCAAAAAATACCATTGTTTGCCCTCCATATAAAAGATTCCATTTTGGTCAATCTCATTGACCCGTAAATGCAAAACGACAATATATACTCAAATCCATCTTCACCCTTCATTTTTTTAAACCAAAATACCCACTATTAGTTTAGAATTTAGTTTTGGCCTCCTTAGACCCGAATTGACTAAAATACCCCCCTCTTTGAGCTTAYCAAAAGGACCAAAATGCCTTAATAAAATAAATAAATACCATAATTAATTATGATAATTTTGTTATTAATTATGGTATTTTTTAATTATTTAATGATATTATATGTATTTTTGTAATAGTATTTTTTATTAATTATGGAATTTAATTAAATAAATACCACAATTAATTAATAAATACTATTAAATAATGTGTTGCTAATACTATTAATAATTTAAATAATTAAATAAATGTCATAAAATAATGTTAATTAATACAAATAATTAATTAAATAATTTAAATATTCATTATGAGAGGGAGAAGGGAGTGATGAGGTGGCTTTATGAGGGATAGATTGACTGATTGAAAATTTTCTATTAAATAACAAAACGAAAATAGATTTATACAAAAATATTGAAAATATATTTATCACAAAAATACAATAAATACAAATTTTAGTATATGTAAATAATAACAAATACGAATTGAGATTTTAAAGTTATTATTAATAAATATAAATTTTTTGAAAGTTATTTTCTAGAATTATTAATTGACATAAGTTAAATAATGTTTTTATTATTAGTATATTAAAAATTCCAATTATTATTTTATTTTTTAATATATATTAAAAACATTTTTTTGAAAGTTATTACCTGTTTTTGTTATTTGAAAGGTTCAATACCTCTAAATTATTTAATATATTTTTCATTATTTCAATAATATTAAAAAAAATAAATTATTTATATATTATATTCTTATTATCAAATATTATTAAACATTTTATAATTATTTTTGTGTTTTTTATAAAATTTATAAGGATATTACATAATTTCTTTATTTAATCTATTTTACTTGTTTTTAAATAATATTTAAAATATGATTTAGTTATTAATTTTTTAATATCTAAAATATTTAAAATTAGTTATTTACAATATTATTCTTCTATTTAAATAATACCACTATTTAATTATTAAAATATTACTTATTTATTGAATTTCATAATCCATAAAATTATAAATTATACTATTATTACATAATTTTGTAAAATATAAAATTATTATTAATTCAAATATTATGAAGTCTATTATAATGATTTCCTACTTCCAATAAATTTTTTTTGTTTATTACATAATTCCGTTATTTTAACTATTTAAAATTTGTTACACAATTTCGTTATTTAAAAATTTTCACTATTTAAATTTTATTTATTTTAAAGTTATTACATGATATTAAATATTTTCTATATAATATTTGTAGTATTTTATTATTTACAATATTTAGTGATTGAAAATTTTAAATAATAATTTTTTATTTTAAATTTTATTATTTGAATAATATTTAAATTTAATAGTTAATAAAATTATAATTTATATTGTTAGTACACAATTTTGTTATAAATTTCATAAAAGTATATAATTATTAATAATATGAATATTATTAAGTCTATGATATTTTTTGTTTTTAATAAATATGTTAAAGTTATTACATAATTTTATTATAATATTTAAATAATTCTTAAACTTTTTTAGTTCAAACTTTCCTTTGATAGATATAGATGAAAAGTGGGGGACAAGATAAATAGGAATTAGAGATAATTTAGGAGATAAATAGGAATTATAAATAATTTAGGAGAAACTAGCGGATATTGTTGTCACTTGTTTAGATTATATTAGATTTTGGTAAAAAGGAATTTTAGAAATAATTTTAGGAAGGGATAAACAAAGAGGAAAGAGGGGTGAGCCAGGCATGATGATGTGTCATTATGAAGAGGGAGAAGGGAGTGATGAGGTGGCTTCATAAGAGAGCAAGGAAGGCTAAAATGAGAGGGGTTCTATTGGGGTAATGGAGAAAGGGGTTATATTGGGATAATGGAGAAAGCTCAAGTCATGACATGGCATCATTCTACTTTAATATATATATATATATATATATATAAATACACAACATTATGTGTGGTAAGTATATTCGGGCTGGAGAGTTTAAATATATAATAGATGAGATGATAGGACTCTTAATGGGTCGGCTTTGGGTTGGGACTAGGTAGAATTGGAATTGACTCGACATGAAATATTGAGGACCCAAAATCAAAACAGACCCGATAGGGCATGCAATGTTTTGACCCAAAATAGAAACGATTAATTATCGGGATAATCAGGTTTGACCCAACAGACCTGATTATAATAAATAAATTAATATATATATATATCAAATATTATATATATTATAATTTATTTAATATTATATATATATATATATATGTATGTAGCTCAGGTCAAGTCTGAAAATCGATTCGGGACTAGGTAGAATTGATTCCAAACCAATACTATTTGGGACACTATATTAGGACCCAAAACCAACTGCCATTTCCAATTCCTATAACTAAAACCAGCCCAATCGATTTAGATCCATCGGGCCGGACCCCAACTTCGCACAATGGTTGGGTTGAATTGCTCTATTGCAACCTAGGTGACCATGGTCAAATCTTAGAAATAGATTCTCGATACGTACATGGATAATGCTGTATACATTTGTACCTCAAATCCCCGTAGGCCAATACCCCGCCCATGGTCTGTCTATCCATTTAAGAAGTGTGCAAATAAATGCAATGTTTATTGCGAATTCCAAATTTTACTTGTAAAACTTAGCCCGTCTTAACTCTAGGATTTTACAAATTTCACTAAAAGACTTAAATAGACCCTATGTTTTTTATAAATTGACTTAAACATATACTTTGTGAATGCACCCACGGGACATTAGGGGTGAGCAAAACAACCGAAAAACCGAATCGACTAAAACCGAATAAAAAATTTGATTAATCGAATCAGTTGGTTTGGTGTTTTTAAAAACCAAAGGTACTAGTTTGGTTTCCGCCGGTTAACCGAATCGACCAGTATACATATATTTTTTATATA